TTCCGTAGACTGATTGACTCCAATAGTTTGGCCCTGACCTTTAACCCCTCCCAGTGTGATGGACAGCAACAGTTGCATCTCTTAAGTTATTTGCTGATGCGTTTCCTTTTGGGTGCTGTGATAAACCATTATTCAACCTTGGAGTAAAACAAGTGTTTTTGTTTTGTTACCCATGATGGATAGAGTAATAGGAAACAGCTAATCAGCTGTCTAGTGTTGTTCCTGATTACATTCATTTTTAGACGTTGGCTTCCTTTTTGACTGAAAGCTTCTTATAAATTAAATATGACGGGTCACTGATATGTGTCGAGGACACCCACACATCTAAATTTTTAAGCTTTCATCTATTTGTAATGTAATTTATCATGAACACCCTAAACTATAGAATTTTATCATCTTCTAGAATTTGGTGAGTTTCAGAAATGCTCAAGATATCTAAGAAACAAAGTTACTGTCCAGATCCGACCGCATGCTCTCCACATGTCCGGAACACATCAATGATGGCGGGGCTACTGCACGCGTGTTCCAACATGCAATCAAAACAAAACTGCACAAATTCCACTGCAGCTCTATTGAAGCCCAGTTAGTATTTCCTGCTTTGGAACTGACTTGGATTCTTGAGGATGTTGCCTGCATGTGACCCTTTGGGTGGGAATCACAATAGGAAGCAAGCTGCAGGCTATGAGTTTTATCTCTACAGCGTCACATTATCAGGCACAACACCTGGCATGCTCGTCGGCTCACAAAGCACCTAACCTGTGCTCGGGGTGCAAGAAAGATGAGATTTTTGGTGATTGAGAAAAAGTTGATGATTACTAAGATAATAGGAAATTATTTTACTGCAGTTTAGCATTTACCAGGACTAATGTGGCATTTTATTTCAAATAAGTTATACCCTGTAAGAAAATTCTTACTCCATACTTCCTTCAGTTTAAAATAAACCATATATTTATTGAACATCTTTGTGTGGAGGTGAATGGGAATTATCTTGTATAAATTTACTCATTAATTTAAATACTGGTTAAAGAGCAAACATAGTGACACTATTTTTAAATTCTCACATCCAGTGCTATCCTATTTACTATAGAACCTCTCCTCTGGAGTTTACTGGTGTAACCTTCTTAGTACCATGTAGAGGTTAAACACACCTTGTTATGTTCTTTCTGTTTCTTTTCAGTCTCTATTGTTTCTTCTTTCTTGCTTAATACACAGCGTAGCAAAGTTTTTACTTCGAATTGCTGACAGTTTTGGCGTCACAGTCACCATCATCAGAGCATCACTTCTGCAGTTTATCCGTGGGCGGTATCCTGATCTCCACATCCCATGAAGTGGCAGTAGAGGGTGACATCGTCCACTACTGCCCGAGGATAAACAGCGGAAGAAGCGGCTGCGGAACACCCGTGAGGCTCTGAATATGGTGACTGTGTGACGCCAAAATTGTCAGTAATTCAATGTATAAACTTTGCTATGCTGTGTATTAAGTAGGGCTGCACAATATATCGTAAATATATCGTTATCGTGATGTCAGCATGAACGATATGCATATCGCAAAGAACAGATAAATATCGCAATAAATGGTGAGCTCAAATGTTTGCTAAACATAATGCATTCTGTCAATCAAACAGTTGTTTTATGTTTTTTTTTAACAAATCAATTAGAGCTCTTCATCCATTTGGCCAAATTGGTGGGTTCTCATAGGTTAGATGCCCGCCCCCGAGGCAAGCAGCACTTCATTTTGATGGTTAGCAAACACCTGAGTTAGCTTTGTTCTGCTCTTTTTGCTGATTCTGCTTTTCCCGGGATCCACTGATCGCTCTTTCTTCTTCATTTTATTTTTCCCTTTCCTCACATCTTTTGCTTTTCTCATTTTTACATTTTTTTATTTCTTTGTTTTTGATTATTTTTGTTCCTGAGTTAAGTTTTTATTTATCGCAAGTAATATCGTCATCGCAATATTAATCACTGTTATCGATTCGAATATCGCAGGTTTTCCTTTTATCATGCAGCCCTAGTATTAAGCAAGAAACATAAACCAATGGAGAGATTAAATGCATATTTAGTCAGTTTTTAGGTGTACTTATTTACAATTACTGCCTAACTTGTTTTGGTGGTGTCAGTGCGTCCTACAGGACTGATGAGCTAATGGCTAGACTGAGAACAGTCATGCCCATCTCTTTAACTGTTGACAATTTGATCTTGTAAAACAAATCCTATGGTGGAGTTTGGTTTATAATAACACAAAATTAAGGAGACTGGAGCCATTTTATAGCAGTGATCCACTTTGGCTGGGATCAGACTGGCTGTTAGCTTATCAATGTGAGCAAAAAGGCAATTTGTCCAAAACAAATGCTGTTATTAGCTTTTCACACACATTTATCTATTTTACACAGAAGTGCTATTTATGACGACCCTACATTCATTCAACAGCAAGGCACAACTTTTAAAAACCAGGTGTGTGAACAAGTTCAGCAGAGCCATTCCTGATGAGATGATAATGAACGTTTTAGAATGAGCAAAGATCTATCAAGCTTTTTGTTTGAACATTTATAAACTGTAGACAACATCGATCTACTGAACCTAACCCTAACCATGACACGTCACAAATCAGGGAAGCTTCAATTTTCCTAAGCAGCAAAGTCCAAATCTCCACGAAGGCCCTTTGCCCTTTTCAGCCTTCTGCTTCCTGTAGGAACGGGTTCAACTGCAGCGTCTCGTGCTTTTACGTTCGGCAGAAGCGTCAAACTTCACACAATTCAATAAGCCACGAACAGAATGTTAACGCTAAAGGCTAGTTACACATCTGCCATCCAGCCTGACCAAGCACAGTGGTCTCTTTTTATGAGAGCACAAGCAACCATTTCAATGTCCTTTTCTGGGGAACCAGTGCCAACAATCCGGCTCAAACAACTTCACGGGTGTTCCTCATTATCCACAGAGGGGTCTTCCATACCATAGGGCAAGGCTTCTGCGTTAGTGGGAAAGACGTGTGTTTGTGTGTGAAGTTACACACAAGTCAGAGTGAAGACTCTGACATTTAGGACATTTTCTAGCATGACACGATGTTTTATGTCCAGAGGCTCTGCAGATAGGCGTAATCAGAGGGAAGTATGTGGTTTCAAACAAGCCTACGAAACATCCTCAGTCTGTTTCTGTTTTTGCATGAATTTACATAACTTAACCGTTTAAACTTTTTGCAGCAGTATAGGTTTAAAAGACATCTTTTGTGAGACAGAGCTGCCTCTCTGCTCCTGGGGAGGAAATGTTTTGTATATCAGCTGTTTCCATTTTACTGGTTTACAAACAACTTCACATTTCTGTGTGGGGCTTTGATGATCCTGCTGTTCTACTGTTTTCTATACATCCTAGCATCGCAGGTAGAGTAATGTCTGGAGTTCAGAATAATTGGTAGGTTTATGGTGTGTGTGTGTGTGTGTGTGTGTGTGTGTGTGTGTGTGTGTGTGTGTGTGTGTGTGTGTGTGTGTGTGAAGAAGGAAATACGATTATCTCATAAAATCCTGTTAAATGTCAGCTATTACTGACGAGGATGTCTCCATGGCGAGCATATGTAAGCTTTTTATTCAGAGTAAACTAGTCAGTTTATTGGCATTTGGCCATAGATTTGCCTCAAACCAGCTGACTAGCTGAAGATATTATCGATTTTTATAATAATTCATTATTCATTCATTCATGGGCTCATTCACACTTTGGTGGTGATGGTGAGCTACATCATATCCTCTGACCACCTCAAGCAGAGGCTAAGCTAGTCATTTTGACTAAGAATGAGCTGAGATTGAACCAGCAACCCTCAGATTATTGGACAACCCTCTCCACCTCCAGAGCCACTGCCTTTGATTTATCACCAAAACATTAAATAACTCTTTCCAATTTCAGAAAAGCACAAGTTGGTCCTGTGTTGATGGTATCACATGACTGGTATACTCGTATTTAGAGTTTGGAGTAGAGGTCGACTGTTTATGGTTGTTTTCTTGCCAATGGCCGATGCATTAAAATACAATAAATACAACTTTAGAGTATAAATAGAAAATCTAATGGGGAAATATCAAAGATAAAATATATAAACACAAAATATAATTGAGGCTGAAAAATAAAAGGATTCTGTCTTTTCAGCTTTTACTAATAATTTTACTAATAATTCATATCTTCATGTGAACTATACGTGAAACCTTTTAGTGGGTTTGACCTAGCAGCAGCATCTTAGCATCAGACCCCTCGTCTCTAACATTGGAGATCCGCAGATGTGCCTGACTATAAATCAGCTCTGCAAAAGAGGGATATCGGAAGATGACGATGTATAGAAATATTAGTAAACTTCCGGCCGATATATCAGTCTATCTCTAGTTTGCAGCTGTGCTTTTGAAAATGGCGCTGTCGTTAATTTCTTACTAGGAGTAGACTGATGTATCGGGCCGATATTCACCAATTTTTATACATCGGCATCGACAGATATTTGTACTTAGTAAAGTTGGCACATCCTCAGGCAGCTTGGTTAATAAATACTTTAAATTTACTTTATTTAGGTGTCTGAGTTTATCCATGAGCAGTCCACAAAGTTAAGAACAGTTCAGAGTTCAAAAACCGATTCAGCTTCAGAAATGTTGTGCCTCAAGTGTTTTTACTGACATTTTAGCATGAAATGAATGTGGAAAATGTCTAAATCTTAGCCATGGAAATCGACCCATAAAACTCGGCAGTACATATCGGCCATCGGCTGACCAGTTCTCCTACATATCGGTTTCGGCAATAGAAAAAAAACAATTTTGGTCGACCTCTACTTCTTACACCTCTGTTTTTAATAATCAGAACATTTTTGTGTTCTGGTATTTAATTGATGTTGTTTTGGTAAAAATCAAAATGACAACTTTTGTGAGGTTTATTTGTAAATCACGTGAAAATCACAAGGTGTTCGATGACGTTTTATAAAAACAAAGCAAAGAAAAAGATTACAGAAAGCTTTTATAACAGCTGGTTTTCTGTGTTAGACCCCGGGTCTCTGGATTGATGAAGGCGCAGAGCTGGGAAGTCCTCACCAGCGCTCAGCCTCGTGGGGGAGTTCAGACCATCTGAAAGAGGTATTTTGACCTTTCTTAACCTCTGTTCTGCCAATTTCACAGCTGTTTCTGACTAGAGCCACCACAGAGAGTGCTGGCGTTTCACAACACCATGTGAGGCAAGGCTAGACTTATACTTTCTCCCAGCTGGATAAAATAACGTATCTGTCATTTTTGAGGTTCTTGATCCATTTAAAGTGTGTTTGTATTTGTCAAGAGTCTGAGGTTGGTCTAAATGTTACTCTCCTTAAAGCTGGTTTCCACTCCTGTCTATCTGCTGGGTTTGGCAGACCGACCAGCCGACCACATGGACTCCATCTCTCCAGACCGCAGTCTAAATTTAACCACCTCCTCCCCTCTGTTCATCGTGTGCATCTGGTTATGGATCGCTGTTTCTGAGAGGAGATGCGGGAGCTCCTCTGAAGGGCCAGCAGCCATATTGTTTCCTTTTACAGTTTTCACAGCTTAAACTAATTTAGTGGAGCTCAACAGCATCACAAATGCTCCTTCAGCTCAAACTGAAGAGCCGTTCAAATGCATCTCGTAGAGGTGTTAGATTATGTTGATTTAAATTACAGTCCTTTTTTTAGTCGCTGCGCTGCATTTTATATAAAAACCAGAGTGATTGGTTTGCTCTAATGATTTAACCCAGTTTTGTTGCGTGTTTGTGGGAGCATGTTAGAACAAATACAACGTACTGGTGATGGGTTACAGCAGTGTTGCAGTGTCATCAGTTAAAGCAACAACAGCTTCATTTTTCTCAGCTATAAACTCTGAAGCTGATGACATTTTAGCATAAATACACCTTTCACAGTTGCTAGACTTGTGTTACACAGACGGTCCCTGACTGGGTCCTGGCCTGGGGAACCAGTAACATCCCACAGCCAGGAAAACCTTTCTTTCCCATTAACTAAGATTACACCAGGGCTGCCTGGACTTGTCATTATCGCCTGCTTCCACTAAGCCAATGCACTGAGCTGCATTCTCGCTCTCTAACTTGAAGTGTAATGTGTGGGTGGACATCTATGAAAAGAGCAAGTCTCTTTGTTGACCGTGTTGCCTGGAGTTCAAGATGTGCACCGAAGAACCACACCTTTGTCTGCACAGCACAACTGCTTCTGTTGTTCTCACAAAGGCCATCCTGTTTTGTTGCTGATACTGGGCCAGATGTAGCAGCAAGAGTGTGTTCCCTCATCAGACATGCAGAACTGATAGCTCTTTACTGGCTTACCACAACATCTTAGTCTTCATTATCTTTACTGATGCAGAATGTAGTCTATAATAATCATCAAAACACACGAATACTAAACAAGTCCTTCACTAAGAAACCTCTTGTGAATATTTTTTTCTGATTATAATCAGTCACTCTGAGTTTTTTATGCAGGTGGAACATAAAAACAGTCTCCTACACCTATGTCCTGCATTAGCTTCTGAAACTCTAGGATCAGAGAAACCTGACAGATCTACCTCACACATTTTCATGGGCTCACCCATCTTGACTCGCGACAGGGATGGCTGTTGTTGGTTTAGCTCCCAGGAAGCAGCAGAGATGGTCTCGGCTAGTAAAAGCTAACCATCAGCATTAGCAACTCCACCACACAGCAGAACTCCTCCAGGCTTGTGTTATTTGTGGAGATAAATCATCAACATTGCAGAGTAAACAGAGTCAGTAGTAGTCGCGTTTCTGTTATCTAATCAGAGGCGAGATGTCCAGATATCAGGAGTTAATGAGTAAATCCTGATTCATACTTTTCTGTTGTGTTGATGCGGACACACGCAACGCCATGATGCAAGGGTTCTGCGGCAGGCCCACAGAGGATGAAGGAGACATGCTCAAATTTTTACCTGTTCGTCAACAGTGACAGGCAGGGATAATTTTTTTTGTGTTGAAAAAGTCTCTGAAATACATAAACACAACAGTCAATAGACTCTCTTGGGTCAAAGACCTGACTGCAGTTGGGGCAGGATAGCCCCAGAAAAGCGCTAGGTCCTCTACAGTCCGACTAACCGGTTACAAACATCTCCAGTGCATGTGCAACTCTGCAGCTGAGCTGACGGAGACCAATGAAGATCCTGCTGTTTTATGTCTCATTCTCCTCCGACTATATTCTATTTCCCGTAACAGGATTTTCTCACAGACATTCGTTTACACTAAAGACCAGTGCAAATGTAGAGAAACTGGTGATTGACACATTTTCAGTTAATATCTGATCATTTCTAGACAAACCGTGAAAAAGAAGGAAGTACATCCACCAGACTTTTATCATTGCCATGAAGTGCCTGACTCAGAGCTGTTCTTTTGCTAAATTTGTTATTTTTCTCTCAGCAGATCGCCAAACTGAAGCTGCAGCTGCAGCGTGGCAAACAGGTCACCCGGCAGAGCAAAGACCGGGAACAGACCTCCTTGCACCTGCCACAGGCGGTTCAGCACGGTGCAGCGCACCAATCACCGGTGAGTTCCTCCTGTCGGTGTGCACCTTCACGCTGCTCTGTCTGAGGCACCACCAGGCTCTGCTCTGGTGGAAACATTAACCAGCTCCACTTAGGTGATGCAAGGCTTTACACAGGCAGCTGTAGTGATAAGGTAGCTTAGCAGTAAACGGAAAACATACAAATGAAACAGACGGTGACCGGCCCATAGCAGCTGTCAAAGGTAGGAATTCTAACATTTCCAAACCGCTCATCCTGTTTTCACCATCAAACCTAAATAAGTTATCATCCAGCAAACTAATGATTGTTTGGGTTTACGTGTATTTGTTACAATAAGAAGATCCTGGTGCACGTAGCTCCGGTTTAAACTAAGCTAGCCAAGTTGATCTTTTTTCTTTGTGGTCAGTAATGTAGAAAGGAAGCAGAGAAAAGGGGAACATGTCCGAGCATGTCCTTTTCAGTCCTTGTTTGCTGTTCATTCATTAACTAATCTGTAGGAAAGGAGCCCTGCTCTGCTGTAAGGAAATCACACAAACCCTCACCTGTTTAACTCTTTTTCTCCACGTGAAGTCATGCTGGTATGATGCAAGCCAGTGTAGTCAGGTGTATTTAAACACCGTCAGACATGACGTGTAATTAAAATTTGATATGTTTATGTGATAACAGTGGATGTTTGAGTCCCAGACTTAGTGTTTTATATCAGTTTGGTGGATTTAATGTGCAGAAGATCTATTTAAACACATAAAATCAGAAACATTTAATCAGAGGTCAACAGATGCATTTTATTTTTAGTTCTTGCTGCATCTTCTTTTTCCTGCTTACTCTACTACGCACAAGCATGCCTGGTAAATATTTATGGATTATACATTTAACTTGATCTAATTTTCACATTATGCTGTTTTGTTAGTTCAAAGGAACTTCGACAGCTCTGATGACAACCCCGTCGCCAAAATCCCTCATATGTCGAGTGCCGAGCAGCGCGGAGGCCTTGAATCACGAGTTGGAAAATGTGTTCATCAGAGATGACTGGGAGCACGGGATGCAGGTAGGAATGTGTGCCCGCCACTACTTTTGTTTGGCTGCAGTTCATCGTAAAACGCTGAGGTTCTGTGGTACATGTTACAAACGATGTGCAGATTTAGTTAGGAACATTTCGGCCAAAGAATAACCTTTAAAAATCAGAAACATCTGAACCGGTGCGTTTAAAAATAACTGTTAGTCACATATAAATCAGCGATAAGACAGTCATCACTAACGCACAACCACAATCAAAAATAATGAACTGTCTAGTTTAGAAACCCTCCGTCATATATTCTCACTGACCTAGAATTCAGTTGCTTAGAGGGTCAGAGGTAAGAGGGCGGTAAATCAGGCCTGATAACAGGTTGTAAACCTGGGCAGAGCCACACACACGCACGCACGCACACACACGCGCGCGCACGCGCACACACACACAGACACACAGAGATTTACTTCATTTTGTGCTGAGTCGTCTCTACTTCTTTCTAAATCAGCTGTGCCAAAACACAACATAGTCTCTTCCTAAATGTACAATGACCTTTGAACTACGAGTGCTCGGCCGTTTTAGGATCTGCGCGCATTATTACATGAGTTCCCACTTCTGCGTTCTGACCTCACAGGCCATGGAGGCGGTAGACGGCCGCCGCGCCCCCGTCCCTCCGCACCGCTGCAGTCACAGTGGAGAGACACGCGACACGGATACTCAGGCCCCCTCGAGCGGTGAATCCAGCCCGTCACCTCGCCCCTGCAGCTCCCACCACCTCCACTCCCCCGATGGAAGCCCCTGTTCTGCAGAGGAAATCGATAAAGGTGAATTTCTTTGGCTGTACTGAAACAAACTTAACAAGCACTTTTGTTTTTCTCGATTTGTGGAGCGATGCTTGAAACCCTCCAGGCCAGAGAGGCAGCTTGAAGGTCTCAAAAATCCAAAATATTCTGTTTTCAACATTATTCATTGTCACTTAAAGGTTTTGCTTTATTTTCTGTTTCCAGACAGCTTTTGCTGCTCACCTCTCCCCAAGTTCGCCACTTCTCCCAAGCCTAACAACAGCTATATGTTCAAACGGGAACCTCCAGAGGGATGTGAGAGGGTCAAAGTGTTTGATGAGTTTGTGTGAGTAGCATCTGGACGTACAGTCGTGTTTTTTAGATGCTTTCTCTCATGTTACGCTGAAACAATAGCTGGTTCTGTTTTTATATAAAGAACTCATGTTCCAGTGAGGTTAAGTCATAAAACACATCTTCTAAAAATGTCTATTCCTGCTTTTTGTGACAAAAAGTATTCAAAAAACATGCAAATAGGGGAAGGTTTTCAGCCATCCCAGCTATAATAGTGATTATTAGTACAATTATTAACTTTTGATGATGATCATTTCTTATCCAAGTAAATAAGTGAACTAAATTGAGAAAGCTCCTTGGATGAGAAGCAAAAAACAAATGACAGTTGTAAAATAAATACCTGAAGCCATATTTTAAACATACTAGGGTGATGGTGGTGATGTTTCTTATACTGGCTTCACTCTGAATGTGTTGGTCTGTTTGTAATAATAATCAGTGAGGTGGTTGTTCTTGTGCATCCCACAACAGGAATTATACCTTACACCAATTCAACTGGAAAATAATTTTTTAAGAGTCGAGTTTGTTCTGAAGGAGGCAGAAGATGATCCTGAGATCCTAATGAGAGTCGTCTGAGATTGGCTTTATTCTTCTCTACATCCTAACTCATAGAAAAGTGTTAAACCTTAGGACATTTAAACTTTAAGTTTATAGCAACTTCAGAGACTTGGAAAAGCAACAGAGAACGAGAAATGCTCAATTATTATTATTATTATTATTAATGTTTTGCCTGATGAAGATTAAATGTTGGAGGATTAACAGCTGGGAATAGATCAAAGTGGTTAGAATGAAAAACCGAAGTAAAAGTCGTGTAACTTCTCTCGTTTCCAGGTCTGGCAAATCCAAAGGCTTCCCTCTGTTCTCGTGTCCCGATAAAAACAAGGTGAACTTCATTCCTCGGGGCTCAGCCTTCTGCCCGGTCAAACTCCTCTGCTCCTCCCTGTTCCCCCCCATCTCCTCCTCCATCAGCTCTGGTCTCCATAGCAACAGCAGCCTGGGCTCTCAGACGACCCCGACTCCTCCCACATCGCCAGTGGCTACCTTCTCTGCCTCTGCTGACTGGAACGTGGACTCGAGTGGCGGCGGGAAGCCGGAGGGCAACACGGAGAGCCCCGACGCAGACGTAGGAAGGGACGGTTCAGCACAAGTATTCCTAACCAGCTAGTCCTCAGGTATTCATAACCAAACCAACAAATGAATCATTGCAACTAGTCAGTGGGTTTGGTTTTAGAGTAAGAAAAGAAAGAAAACAACAAAAAAAACTTGCACTCCAATAATCCTAACGTTAGCCAGCAGGGAGTGCCCAAGGTCTGGGGATAACGGTACCTGGTGTGTTCTTGGGCCCCGTCTCGCTCCACCCATCACTAACATAACTTTCTCGGAACCATTAAGCAAATACTTTTGCGTTATTGCGCAGCAGGTAGAACGGACTGCTGAGGTTCTTGTTCTGTCTAGAGTTAGAAAATTCTCAAAAAACTAAAAGAAAACCCAAAACTTTAAAGTGACACGAGCTGTTTGTGTTATCTGGCCGGCTTGTTGGCTGTTTTGTTTATCTGGGTCTCAGACGGGAGACATGTTGGCACACTGAGCTTTATCTCACTTCTGTCTGAATGTATTTGTGTCCAGAAGCTCCACCCAGCTGCCTCTCAAATCCAAACCTGCACGCCTCATTTGGTCACCAATCACAAAGCACACTGCCCCCCCCCACAGCAATAACTCAGGTCATGTGAAACGTACTTGCTGTGAATGTTACCTTTCTCCAGTGTTCATGATGTTCTCTAGAATTGACGTAGCCTTTAGCTGAAAGGTAAAACCGTTTTCCCAGCAAAGGAAGGTTCTTCCAGACTGAATCCTTGAATGATGTCTACGGTTGTGACGTTTGACTCGAGTTAACCTGCTCACGTTTAAGTTTCAGGTGCTACCACACATTCCAGAGATCGCTGTTGCGTTGGCCAACCGTGAGCTCAAACATAAACAAAACGAGCTGCATAAGCTACACCTTCATGCAAATTAATCAACAATAATATATTTAAAATTTATTTTTTACCCTTTTGTTAGAAGTGTACCAAAGCAAACTATAAAACGGCGAATGAACGGTCGTTTTGGGACTCGAGGGGATTTATTTTGTGCCAGATGCGGAATGTTTGTTTCATTTTGTTTTAAAGAATTCAGTAACAAATGAATATACACACGTGGTTTTTATTAAATCCAGGTCTAAGCACTTATTGGAAAGGAAAAGATGATCACCATTTTGTACCGTAGACCAGCTTGTTCATTAAAACAATCAGAACAATGTGCAATTGATTTTTTTGTGGGGCGTTAAGAGAAACGTCTAACTCGGTCAGCCATGTGACGCCCGAAGCTTCCTGCTGATTTTTCATTGAGAAACAAAACATGCAACTGTAACCTGATCATTATTTAACTAAATGCTTTCTCTACTTGCACACAAAAACAAAACCAACATGTGCAACATTCCACACGACGCTCGGCTCTGCTGCAGCTTCATGAGTTTACTAATCCTGATCTGATTCACAAAGCTCGTTGTGCTGAGCAGTTGAGACACGGTTGTCATGATTTGCGACGATAATTCATTTCTCCTGTGTTTTACATGTTTTTATGTAGATCTTGTGTGTTTTTTCAATAAAGAAAAGAAAAAAGCCATTTTTGTATTGATATGTAATCTTTTTTTATTAAAGGGAATAGGCTCACATTTAAAAACGTGTAAAAGTAAAGTAACGGTCATTCTTATGAATGATTAGGACTGAAAATAAACACGTGCATGGTTTAACAATAGAAAATGACTCAAAGCTCAGTTATAACAAAAGTTACCACTCCCTTCTATACCAGGGCTACAAAATGATCTGTGGTTATGTTAAGGCATTAACTCTGATATAAATATTTACATTATGCAGCATTTTCTTCAAAGTCTGTGTATATAAGTGAATTTTTATCTATGCCTCTCGGCACTATATGTTTAAAAATAAACTCCAAATAATGCCCACAAGAGCAGATAACCGCAGAAGTACATGTCAGATGTTTTCTGTATAACATAAAACGGCACTTCTGTTTATTTATGTAACTTCAATATATTCTTTTTTTTTTTTTTGTTACACAGCTTAGTAAATAAGTAGTTTTTTACATGTTTCGGCTAATTAGCCATCAGGGTGGCTGAAGATGGCTAGTCATTATGGAAACGTGGGGTAAAAAACAGGTTTTTTAAGCTGTGTAAAAAATAAAACAACAACAGGCAACATGCAATGAGAAGCAGACCACAAATAATGGCTGAATACATTTAAACTAGCAAAATGAAGTAAAACAATTTAAAATTGATCAATGATGACAAATGTTTTAGAATTATTTTAGGATTTTAAACATTTACTGTGAAATTCTACGTCAGCATCTTTCCATCTTGTAAACACTCCGATCAAATTTGATTTGACTTCCTGGTCTTGTTTTGTCTTATTAAACATGAATGCTACAGCCCCCCCAATAATCAAGCAGAGGTATCTTATCGCCAGCTGGCTTGTTACAGCTTAAGGTTTTTAACGTCAGAAATAATGTTTTTTTTTGTTTTATTGTGTTCTCCTGCCACTATTAGAAAAACATTATTAAACTCATCTTTAATACAAATTTTAACATGTACCACCTTTGACATGAGGACACGTCTGATTAGGATCCAAACCAGATGATGTCAACGCTCAGATGGGGGTGAGCGATGCTCCCATGTGAAACCACGAGGGAGAGATTTTAGAATCGTCACATTCTATCTAAAGAAATGTTGGGAACCGTTTCCTTCTGGACCGTTTTAGATGCGACACACAGCCTGATCTGTGTCTTTATATGAATAAAACAAGTAATGCTAAAGAAGATGTACTTGGTGACGATTTGCTTACGTGACTTAATAGTTTGGTAATTTACGCAGATATGAGGTTAATTAGTAGTCATGGAAACACTTTAGTATTACTAGAACACGTTAGCATGGCAGCTAACTTTAGTTTAGAGCTGTTTTAACTTGAATGGTGTGGCTGCATTGTTTAGTAACAAAGTAGTGTTAGAAATTAGATAAATATTGGGATCTCCACCTCTACTTTGGGATATTTGTGTCCCGGATGGTTAAATTTATTGTGACTGTTTGCGTCACGGAGGCATTAGATGCATATTCTGGAATAATCTGGTAATTTTAATTACAGTGCAGGTTTATTTCACCTCATTAGTGTTACGTCTGTCAAGTCTTTAGAGAGGAGTTTGATGCTTAAAGTGCAACATGGCGCGTTACTAGGAGGTGGATGTGAGAACAGAAGCTGAGAGTGATGTCATGCGTCTGACTATTGAAAATAAGAACAAATTAAGGCATACAGCCTCAAATCATTTTATAAATTTAACAAATATGGTTTGTTTTCCTCAGCCTTGCTGTTTAAAATTCATCCATGGGAAGAAGTAACAAATCATCCATTTTTCCTTTCTTCTTGATGTTCAGAGTACTTTGGAAAACCTTCAGCCTTCCAGCCTGAGGCGAGTATTTATTATGGTCTGCAGCTCAAACTACAAGAGCTTTAAATGAATCCTGAGGCTGAAGGAAGTACTACGCCGTGTGAAGCTCATGTTCTCTGTCAGTTTTGCCAATCGCATCTGGATTGGAAAGAGGGTCTAAGTCAGCGAATAAATTGAACCACGCTGACAGGTCTTTAGGCATCCCAGTTCCTGAAAAATAAATAAATGCAGCTCAAGTTGCATAAAGACCAGTTTTAGTTTGATTATTTGGAAGCAACCTTTCTTACCTTTTACTGCTGGCTTTGATCTGTTCTGTTCAGCTTCAGGTGATGTTTCTGCTGCACTGGTGACGGACTCTGAGGTAAGCCCTGTCCAATCTGGACCACAGGGATGAGATTTTAGTGAAACATAATCCAACATGGATTTTTTTTTTTTGCAGGGATATTTGCTGCTTTTCATGTAAGAGATTTTCTTAAGTTAAAAACAGGACTTTTTTTCCCCCAGCTTTTTAAAATAACCAGTGCAGTTTCACGTTGGCTCTTAAGATTGTGACGCTCAGCTACCACATAAAATCTGATTAGTTTCCACACACCAACTAAAGGACAATGGTTTTCCAACCTGAAATGGAAGACTTATTCAAACTCTGATCCAGCAGCTGTGAGGGCAGAAAAAACGAGTTTTCCCTCTCCCGCGTGTCTGCAGATCCACCGCCGGCTGCGCTCGCCTCGGTTTCTCCAAACACGTCGGTCCAGTTCTGAGAGAAATCTTCATCCACAAACAATCCACCCAGGATCTCATTGAGCAGAGTCAGGCTGTCTTTCTCCACTTCCTCTGACTCTGTTTCAAACACAAGATCATTAATTCCAGCACCATGATTTTTAGATAATATCATAAATGAACTGACTCCTGCTTTTTAAACATTAATGTTTTACATTATTCCAATAAGGTCATGCAAGTGACCCAGAGAATATCTGACAACTCCTCTACAGATAAAAGCTCAGTGGTTTTGTCCACAATTGTCTAGCTATAAAAGGATTATATATATTTATTATTTACCTTCTCCAGTTTTATCACTGCTGTTTCCATTTCCTAATGAGATTAGTCTGTAAGTACAACAAGCAAACATTTTTATCGGTCAACATTTATTTGTTGAGTACTTTCCACACAAAAGTGACCAAAGTGCTGTACAGTTTAAAACTTGACAAATAAAACACAGTAACTATGATAAAACAAATAAAACACAGGACTGAGTAAAAATGAAAAAAAAAAAAAGAAAATACTAATGTAATAACAAACCAACATGATGCATTATCAGGTAAGTGTGTGCAGATATGCATGTTTTGGTTCTGTCCAGACTACTTTAGCACATACAAGCTCAGTTTTAAGGACTATTTGGTCTCTGCATGAAAGTGGATGAGAATAATTCTGTTGTAAACCCACTGGTCGTCTGTAGTCTCGGGTCTTGCATTGTTTTCCGTTTCTCCTTTAGGTTTCCTCGCTTTCTTTTTAGCCAGCTTGTCCGCGGGCTCTTGTAAGGTCTGTAAGACACTCATTGGTTAAATCTGCCCCCCCCCCCCCCCAGGTATTTTAGCGTAAATCCTCTAATACAGGCCCGGGCCTGTATTTGACTCAAGCTCACCAAGCTCCAGGCCTTTATTGGAAGGAGGGCCAGAATTAGAGGCAGGCCTCTATTTCTATTTGAGCAAAATGAACTAATGGTTCGCTGGAGTTTTTGACAATTAGAATTGCGCCCACATTTTCAAAGTTAAACACATTTCTTTTAACAACGGTAGTTTCTGCTTCTGCCCTCTCCCCCCTCCCCCTGCGCAGCGGCTGCAAACTCACTGATTCGTCTGCAGCCTCTCGGAGTTCCTGCTGCTCTAAACATTAAAATAATTATTTCATTTTCTGTTCCTCACTTCTGATTACCTTCAATGGTGTCTGTTTGTTGCAACCACCAGGTACAAAAACTAACTTGTTTTTATTTGACTATTTTTCTGTCCTGCCTGTTTATTATCTTCCTGCATCTCCTCTCAATCCTAAAGAAAAACTGCTACCTGGCTTCATATATATTCACCTTATGAGTTACCTTTGAACTGCAGTTCTAAAAAATCTACTGACCGCAAAAACAGCGGAGTGCTTGCCGGCCACATCAGTTAGGTGCGTCACCGGATGACAAGGTGATGCGCCCCGCTCCACAGCAAAACGCATCAGGGGCAAATAAAAGACAGAAAACATTAAAGGCAATGAACCGACATGAACGATCGCGTGTTAAATTAGTTTTTGAGGTGGCGACATCTGATTTGATAATGTTACTGTGGCCGTGCTCAGGACGCAGATCTACCGACTGCAACAACAGCGGAGTGCTCGCTGCTTGCCGGCCGCATCAGTGATCGGTGCGTCACCGGAGGACAAGGTGATGCGCCCCGCTCCACAGCAGCGAAACGCATCAGGCGCAAACACATCAGGTGCAAATAAAAGACAGAAAACATTAAAGGAAATGAAACGACATGAACGATCGCGTGTCAGTACCTACGCTCTGTTACAGCGCGTTGCCCCCCTAAGCGCAGGAGCTTGTCACCTGCTGACAGCAGGCTGCTGTCTTTTCCGAGGGCTGCATCTTGCCGGTCATTATCACGTGACAGCGACTAGTCGACGACAGGCATAAAACGTCACTATAGTGAAGTGGACTAGTTCATACAACCCCTATTGCTCCCCAGTGTGTTCTGCAGCATAATCAGCACGTTCTCTTTGAACTTGATATCAAATTTTCGCCTCCTCTTCGTCTCTGCACGGTTAAAGTTACCCTCGCGGTCTATCACTGGCAAATCAAAAGTGAGACGATGACACAACCGCCCCCCCCCCCCCCCCCCCCCCCCCCCCCCCCCCGTGGTACTTGCTTGTTACCACATTCCACCCGGCCACAATAAGAGACCGGCCATTATTCACCTCCGCCGACTCCGACACCGGCCAAAATATGAGACCCGGCCGTTAATTGAATACAGGCCTGTATTAGAGGATTTACGGTATTCATGTTGGACACTCTCTGACCTTATGTTTGGGGATCTCGTAATGCTGACAGCCCTTGAAGCTCTCGTGGACGGCTGCCATCGTGTGGGACGTTTTCTCCCAGAAGTGCAGAAGCGTTGTCTGGAATGGAAATTCAGCTGTAAAGTCTGCTCGGGACACCGTTTTTGTTTTGCACGTCTAGTGAAGGGTTTGTTTATAGAGGTTTAACAGCTGGGATTTGTGATGTACCTGGTATGTGGTTAAAACGTGTGAGAGAAGATTGCAGCGACTGGCTCCCAGCAGGTCTACCTTCTGGCAGACGTCAATCTTCAACTTGTCAAAGCTTGTTTTAGTGGTGCGCACCTGAGCCTGAACCTGAGAGAAATGACAGAACAAAACAAATCACTGCCCAGTGACCAGTCCCGTACAATTTATTATGAAGCACATTTAACAAGGTTGCATATTACATAGACAAAGGCCATAAACCTGAGATACATAAAATAACCACAGCTGATCAGTAAAATACATTAAAATCACTCACAAAGTATTGAAAGCGATTGAAATCAGATTCTGTCTAATACACCCAGTAGCGGTTTTAGGCACGGGCAGACAGGGCAGTTGCCCGGGGCGGCATTTTTTCATGACACAAAAGGGGCGCACAAGCGCTGAGTAAAAAAAAAAGAAAAAAGAAACCTGCGCCGCACCGAGGTTTTCTATTATCTGTCATATGACAGTGTCTGGATTGGAAACAGCAAGTTGGCGCCCCCTGCAGCTGCAGGCGCTCCGTGCACCGTGTGTGTGTGTATGGAGAACAGGAAGGGGAGGGGTGCGGCGGGAGAATTCACCTCTGGGTGGGTCCAAATGAAATGAGCTAGGGGCTGAATCAACTGTATCAACATGGTTAAAGTCGATCACATCTTGATGTTCTTCCATATTTCATTCATAATATCATAAACACAGGCCTATCATTCTTTCATGTGTTTCTGAATTGTGTGAAATGGCCAAATAAAAAAAGGAAAAACAAAACGATTTTGTGTTCACCCCCCATCAAGGTCAAATTGTTTAGTCCTGACTAAAGGAAACTTATTGAGTCACGAGCCAAACAGAAGAGATGAACATAAAAAGGCTAAAACCACCAGGTGCCCGATTCAGGAAAAAAAAAAAGAAAAAAGAGGAGAAAGATAAAGGTATGTTCGCTCTCATGATGCATGTTTTCAATTTTTTGAACCAGTTAACTGGGATTTTAACGGTTAAATTTGGTCAACTAATTGCTAACAGAGCTAATAGGGCTGAAATATTGAAACGAATATTCAAATGGTTCGAAAAAATTCCTTGAATCGTTTTTAACTGATTCAAACTAGGATTTGTTAAATGCTCGCTGCAGCCTGTGGCCTGCCTGAACAACAACAAACACATGTTGATCATGTTCACATAATAATAAATAAAACAACTCTACAAGCAGAAGAAAACTCCCCAGTCACCACTAACTATCCTGTTTATTTATTGCAGATGGCTGCACTGATTATTTTTTACATGATTTGTTCTGTAAAAGTTGGCATTTTTGGTAGTCTACAGTTTTTTTATGTCAGTTTAAATTACAATTTCAGAGGCAATTCTAAAATATTATGGATCATGATAAAGATCTATTGGAGATCTACCCCAACTTTTGGACTGCTCTGCCAGTCACTGTGGCTCAAGCTGAGAGGAGCTTTTCAAAACTTGATCAAGTCATACCTGAGGTCACCTATGTTTCAGGGGCGGCTCACTCACCTGGCTCTGATTAGTATCAATCACTCAGTAGGGGAGCAGATTTCATGTGATGACATTATTGATGACTTTGCATCAAGGATAGGTTTTAATTTTAGTTTGTGTTTTCTGTTCTAAGTGCAATGCTGTAGTGATTATCTTTAGTTTGTTATGTGTTAAATATTTTTGCTATTTAGAATATTTATTATATATTATGTGCATATATTCTTAATATTTAGTTAGTTTAGTTGTTTTTGTATATTTGATTCTATATATTTTGATACAGTATATAATGTATATTGCTTTACATTCTGACAACTTCATAGTAATTAATGTAAATATGTGCAACTTAGAAAAATGAATGTTCAATAGTCGTTCTAATAAAACATGCCTGTTTGTAGAAAACGTGTGTTCGTGCAGGTGGGGCGGTGTGGTGGTGGTGGGGGCGGTTGGGGGGGGGCGCTCAAAGGGGGCCTCGCCCGGGGAGTAATTCCATGTAGAACCGCCACTGAATACACCGGTTTCAAATAAAGTTTCTTTGGCCACGTGATAAACCTGAAGGCATGTTTGTGTTTGTTCTGCCCTCTAGTGGTGTTATCTCCTACAGCAGCTGATAAGCGAATCAAACCCATCAATGTTTATAATAATTGGACAAAATGACATAAAATAAAACCTGTGGAAGCTCCACAGCCTGCAGGAAACATGAGCTTTGGGTTCAACTACTAAGATAAGTAAAAATCAACGTTTTGTTTATTTTGCGGTATTGTCATACGTGCAGCTGGCAAATGGGAGTGGAGCAGCAGAGATGCTGTGGAGAAAGTCCTAAGTTAGTTTTTATAGGACCAACCTTACGGAATTTCTCCATTTGTTTATGTGTGTCTGGATCAAGCTCCTGAGACACGTCCTTCATCCAAAGTAACGCTCCACGGTATTCGGTTCTGGACTGCTCCATCCGATTCACTGTCAGCCACGTGTCGGAGATAGCTCTGTAACGGAAGGTTTCAATCTCCTGGTACAAGCGGCACAGAGGCTTCCTCAGGGCCAGTCTGCAGGATCAATGAGTTAATCATGTCAGAGTTTCGAATGTGTGCTAAATGGAATTTAAACACTCATTAGAAACCTAAAAAACACTAATAGTCGAACAGATAAACTAATAAAAAGTATTTTTTTACATGGAAAAACTAAGAAAATCACCTATAGCCTCTAAAATTTCATCAGTGTTTGTAACTGAAATAAAATAATGAAATGTTCAGTCTTTGTCACCTCCTTTAAGATACGTCCCAGAAAACCTAATTTTACCTTGAACGTTGCATTGAGTTTTTATTTAAGGGGATTATCTCAGTCTCCTAACGCATCTGTAACTTATTTGGGTGTAACTTATTCCCGCAGTCATTTGAGGTTTACCTCTGTTGGGAGGAGAGGCAGAGAGCCTTCCCTGTTGCCTGCATGATCTTCCCAGCATTGGTTTTATCCTGGGAACCCTGGGAGCGCAGGAAACGACCCAGCTCGTTCTCCTCTTGTGAAAGGACTGAATGGTAGAGAAGAGGGGCTTCAGTCTTTTAAAAAGGAAAAACTTCAACCTGATTTTTATGCAGATTAAAGGTTTAGTTCCCATTAGAAACTGTGTACTTCTTTCTGAAATAGGATCTGTCACCCTGGGTTCCACATGCATGCTGAACGTGAAAATGTTCTCCAGCCCATCACCTGAATTAGACGCAGAAAGGAAATGGACGGTGAAATGATTGGATCTTTGAATGGAAAAATGGCCTGTATTTGATATAGCGCCTTCTAGATTCCTAGAACCCCCCAAGGTGCTTTACAACACAGTCATTCATCCATTCACACACACATTCACACCCTGGTGGTGATGAGCTACGCTGTAGCCACAGCTGTCCTGGGGCGCTGACAGAGGCGAGTCTGCCATATACAGGCGCCACCGGTCCCTCCGACCACCACCAGCAGGCAAGGTGGGTTAAAGTAGCTTTCCAGATTTTTCCCCTTTCAGAAATTATGTATGATTTTTCAGAAATCCGTAAAAGTGATTGTCTTATGTCCTGTGACATAATGTAAGCAATAAGTGTTTTTATTTTTTTGCTAAGCACACCCCCTGCCTCGCAGAAGTTTGTGCAATGGGAAACTGAGCGCCGACCAGAACTAACCAATAGCGTTAGACTACCGCTTACGTGTTTCCAATTGAAGGAATACCTCGGCTGATGCAGAGTTGATGAACTTTTCACGGACAAGTAAGTCTTTAAAATATATGAAAAACACACCATGACATGAGAATAGTACTTGTAAACAATGTGTTTAGGCTCTGATTGCTTGCTACAGAGGCACATTAATCGCCTCTGTCAGTGCGCCCCAGGGCAGCTGTAGCTACATCGTAGCTCAACGCCACCAGCGTGTGAATGTGTGTGTGAATGGGTGAATGACTGGTTGTGTTGTGAAGCACCTTGGGGGTGTTGTAGAACCCTAAGAAGGCACTATACAAATACAGCCCATTTATCGTTAAAAAAGAAGAAACGTGACGTAGCCATCTGATAAAAACGAAGCAAGACTATTTGTGTGACATGCTTGTCAGCCACTAGATGGTGCCATTGGATCCAGAAAGAGACTTTAAGTGTCTTGGCCAAGGACACACAGACAGTGACAGACTGAGCGGGGCTTCAACCTTCTGATTATGGAGCGGACACTTAGCTCCTGTGCCACCGTCGCCCACCCACCCAGTAGTCGTGGCCCCACACCGCTTTTGCTTGTGACAGCCCTTGGGAAGGAGAGAGCAGAGCGCGTCTCGGCTCAAAGAAGCTAATCATTGGCAACCCATAACCACAAACATTCTGCTCTTTTAGGACAAAATGTAAAGCCTTATTTCTACTTCTCCATGAGCTCAGTTAGTCGCTCACCCGCTTTGACAAAGACTTTTCCTTTCAGACTTCTTGGTTGCTTAGATGGTGTTACAAAGCAATTTTAACATTTATAAAGGTGTGTCCAATTTTCCCAGCTTTTCTTGCAATCACCACCCCCAAACCCATGTTTCCCTTACTTTACTTTTGCTAAGAAAAAAAAAAAAAAAGGTTTGCTGCATATATTTGTACTCCTTCAGTTGCAGGTGTATCAACATATTGTCTGACCTTTTCTATGAGACATTGATCAGTCTGCTCCATGTCTAATAGATGTCTTCGGTACTCCATTTTTAAAAAAAAGTTACTGTTGACAAATGAAAGGAAGTGGTGTCCTGACCAATCAGAGGTTTGCAGTCTCAGTCACTTTTTAGGGACAGTTAAAAAATTGGGCATGTCTCTGGACCTGCCGCAGAGCCCTTGTGTGGACACATTATGCAATTGTGTGTCTGTACCCACGCAGATGGAGATGTATAATGCCATTCCTGTTCTATTTCTCTGTCCTCCTCGGTGTCGGTATCAAATAAAAACGGCTGACAAAATGTTGGTTAAAAACCGTGTTCTTACTTTTGCAAACAAAGGCAGCAAGAGTCACATTGCTGTTAGCCTATTAGAAGTGAGATATTTGAAAATCATGAATATTAATGAGCAAGACTCTGAATCACATACCATATTTTCCGGACTATAAGTCGCACTTTTTTCATAGTCTGGCTGGTCCTGCGACTTATATGGTAAATGGCCTGTATTTCATATAGCGCCTTCTAGAGTCCTGGAACCCCCCAAGGCGCTTTACAACACAATCAGTCATTCACCCATTCACACACTGGTGGGGATGAGCCAAAATGTAGCCACAGCTGCCCTGGGGCGCATTGACAGAGGCGAGGCTGCCGAGCACTGGCGCCACCGGTCCCTCCGACTACCACCAGCAGGCAATGTGGGTTAAGTGTCTTGCCCAAGGACACAACGACAGCGACAGACTGAGCGGGTCTCGAACCTGCGACCTTCCGATTGCGAGGCGAGCACTTAACTCCTGTGCCACCATCGCCCAAAAGTGACTTATATACCAAATTATGTATACCGCACTGCTGCGGGCCGGCTCCGACCCAGGAATGAGCTCCCCCCGCCCACTGGGAGGGTTTCAAACACCACCATCACCTGCTGCAGCCTGTGGCGGGGTGCTGCGGGCCGGCTCCGGCCCAGGAATGAGCTCCCCCTGTCCCGCTGGGAGGGTTTGAAACACCGCCATCCTTTGCTGGAGACCGTGGTGCGCTGCTGCGCCCTGGTTGTTTATTCTGTTATTGTTACCAGTACTTGTCTAGCAATGTGAAATGCTTGGTCTCTGATTTAGTAAGAAAAACAATAAAAATTTCCCCCCAAAATGCGTCTTATAGTCCAGTGTGACTTATATGTGTTTTTCTTCTTCATTATACATTTTATGGCTGGTGCGACTTACGGCTTATACTCTGGAAAATACCCTTCCCACACACTCTTGACAGACTTTAATCCTATTAAACAGGGGAGCCAGAGCTTTTTTTTTCTTATCAATATTTACCAATATTTTATATTTCAAGATGAAAATAAACATTGGCTTTTAAAATCTCAAGTTCACTTATTGGATTGGTACCTCAGTGGCAGTATATTGTACACCCCTGATTATCATTTCCTGAAAATACTTTGCTTGAACTCACAGCAGATTCTTCTCTGGTACTGTTCAATGACCTTCAGCAGCTCCAAGCTTGTTCTTTGGATGGAGTGGAAGACCTGCCGAAAGGGATCATGGACACGTCACATTTGATTGCTTTACATTTTAGAAACAAGCTCAGTTGTTTTTTTTACAACGGTTTTCCTTGAACGTTTCGCCCTCACCTCCAGCTTGGCATCCAGATCTGCGTCTGATGCCACCACGTGTTCATCCTCCTTTTTGCCGGTGACTTTAATGAGTGTTTGTTTGGTTTTCCAGTACTTTTGCTGGAATTTATTCACCACAGATGAATCTTGGCTTTGGATGAAGCGGTCAAAGTAATCTCTGGAGTAACTGCTGCGGAGAGAAAACAACCCTGGAACAATCTTATTTCTGATGCTATCTAGACAGACTGGGGCTCAATCTGGAATAAAAAAAAAGATACGTTATCTGTGAAGTGATATACTCACAAACTTCTTCCCTCCATTTTCAAGATGTTCTACAGAGAAACCAGAGACATTTTCAGTTACAGTCACACACCTGGGGACTTTATGTATTTGTTAATTTGTCAATGAATCCATATCAGTTGTGTTAAAGTTTAAGTACTGTGAGAGCTCAGGCTCTGAACACAGTGCAGCTAGAAATGGAATGCAGCCTTTGGCAATAGCATTTTTGCTGTGATTTATGCCAATTATTCACTGTGATAGGTTCAGCAGAATTAGGATACCATATAAAAAATTGGTGTTTTTCTTGCTTTCAAATTAAAAGTCATAGTTCAACATTTTATTGCTTAAATTAGGTATATTGTGACACTTTAGTGCAACATTTTCCTTAAACATGTATGATGTAAGGAATAAAGTAACAATGGCATTGTGTGGTCAAATTTAGGTTCTGCAGTCATTGTTTCAAAACAGGAGTGACTCTCTAAACACTTGCTGCATGTTTGTACTCCTTCAGTCACGGTTGAATAAATGTTCATATTTTCATACTTTTTCCGTGATGCATTCTTCAATCTGTTCCATGTCTGCCACTAAATACTGTATCTTTTTACTTTTTGAAGCAGAAAAGCCAGTGCTTTTGAACAATTTACAGGAAGCAGGGTCCTGACCAATCACAAGCTTGCAGTCTCCGTCACTTTGGACAGACAGTAAAAAATATGGGCATGTTTCCGTCACTCTCTGCATCGGAGAGCTCTTGTGCCGACGCATAATGCATGTCTTTGCACTGATGCAAATGGAGAAGTATAATTTAGACTTTAGGGGTACAAGAAATAGCTTCCGGATCACTCATGTTACTGGCTTTTTTTATTTATTTTGTTTTGTCAACAAAATGCTGCTGCATTTTGCTGGTTGGTGTCAGACTTGGCAACCAAGCAGGCTCACAGATTGTAAACAAATACTAACACCCCCACCCCCGACTGCCTTGTGATTATTCCACTTCTAGCTCATTGTAGCAGCCTTTACGTTGGCATCAACTTGCATAGATTTCATTCATTAAGAAAATAATAATTTAAAATGGAAGTGAACGCAGGAGCTGTGTATAATTCTGTATATAAATAATAAATAATTCTGATCGGTTCTTTACTCGTTCATTGTAATATTTTTATTTTGTTTTACAATTATGTCTTGAATAAATAACAAAAATGTATATAGTTGGATTGAATATTAATATATTTTATTAACACTGGCTTTTGCTGGGGGGCTAGCAATTTTCTAGGGGTGGCCATGGCCCCCCCTGGTCACCCCTTGGAGGAACCGTTGACACACACACACACACACACACACACACACACACACACACACACACACACACACACACACACACACACACACACACACACACACACACACACACACACACTTCGGCTGTGCGTTAGGAGCGTCACCTACAGCTCGCGCGCATCAAGATTTATGTTGATTTGATGCTGCGATGCCACTAAACGGACCTCCACAAACTGACGAGCAGCATCATGTCGTTGAAGACCCAACGACACATTAATAATACCGGATCGCCAACCGGACCGGGTTTAAAACAAACGAGCATCTCTGACTCACCCCGCAGCGCTCCTTTGAGTCTCAATAATCTGACATCAGAATAAACGTTGGATTAAAACCATGGTGTGGTCATCACACCTTCTCCAGACGTTTCACAAGGCTGATCCGAGAACAGCAACGCGGCATGGACTGATCCGAGGCCCGGTTCGTATCTGAAACCGTACACACAGCTGCTAATGCGAAGGCTTTGTCCGCACGCACGAATCACGCTGACGTCAATCAGGACGCGTTCGCTTCCTCTCGGCAGGATTCTGCACGAGTCCATTCAGGGTTGTATTTGTTTGTTTGTCTGGTGCAAACAGAGCAGCCCTGTAGTGCATTATTGTGAGAACCGGTTTAATAAAACGTGATCGAAGTTCATATAATATTTAAAGACAGAACATTCAAATTAATGTTTGAGAAGTAAATTTATGAAATAATAAATAGCTTTTGAATATTTTTTTCCTCCAACCTTTTTACCAGCGTGGTAAATATGGTAGAGCATATTTTAGTACTCTTTATCTCCCTGAAGCATGCACTAAATACCCATGAACTAATACCCACTTATTGCAGCAGGGTCCTAGTGAGCTGGTGTTTAACTCCTGCAGTCACCAGACAAGAGGCCAGGCGCACCTGAGCAGGTCTCCAGTTCATCACAGGGACAGACTTGAGTTAGTAAAGAAAAGTGCACTTTTTTGGGCATGAACAACATTGTGTTTGGAGACTCTGACATGAAGCACAGCTTCATATGTTTACCCCAATGCATCCAGATTGCTAATCGCTCATGCAGGAATCCGCCACTGGCCGATTACTCGCAAAAGGCTCCCAATATGGTCAGGTCCATGAATACTGGGACATCAACACAATTCTAACATTTTTAGCTCTATGCACAACCACAGTGGATTTGAAATTAAACAAACACGCCGGTACAGAAGTAATTAATTACTGTAATGCATTGCTTTTTGTTGTAATGTGGTAATGTAAGGCATTACAGGGAAAAAATGGTAATATTTACTCGGTACAATTGTCAGTAACGCAGTAATTACAATGCATTTTAAACCCAGAATCAAGATGCGTTTCTTAAAAATTCAAATTGCGCGTAACCCGAAGAAAGATCCAGTATCTGCATATATTACGTCATTTATGGACTCCGCTTTGCAGGCAGAGAGGACGCAGCGGTACCGGTGTTCTTTTCTGCACCCGGCTCAAATACTCCAGCTGCATCCTCCACGCGGCCGCTGCAACATTCACAAAATCGCTCCACTAAAACAAAATAATTCACCTGCGATCGTTCATATCAGCGCATGTTCTCTGGTATTCTGTACTTTTCTGACGTGCTTTGCCTCAGCTGAGTTAATCTGGGCTCCGGTGATTTTAACTCATTGCTGCTGGAGCGCCGCACATGTGAAGATTCCTTTGGCTGATAGTTAGAAAGTAGGAAGTCTAGGAAACAGTTTTTTTCTGGAATACGGAGAAAACATGCAGCATGCAGGAAGGTTAGAGAGAGAAAGGGCAGGAAATAATTCAAATAAAATCAAGAAAACAAAACAAAGTGCTTGAAAAGAAAAAAGTAGGTAGATTTATCCCCAATACACATTTTTACCAGTGAAAAGCAATAATATATAAGCATTCAATATTTATACATGTGATAGAATCAGATCACCCCAGAAGCCAGTCCCACATCCAGGGCCGTATCAAGGCATTTGGGGACCAAGGCTAAATAGACTTGGAGCCCCCACCACCTCACTCCCTGCTCAGTTAATCTAAGATGGCAGCATGTTGAGAGTACAGATTGTTGTTTCATTTATTTCATAAACAATCCTTCTAAAGAACTGTTTTTAACAGCAGTCCTAGCTCAGACACCACATCACCTTCCACCGGATGTGTCATGAGTTCACCGGGCATCAGATTACCAAACTCATACTGAAGTTGTTTTGTTGAAAGTAACTTAGAGTAATGCAAAAGTAGTGTAATGCCTTACATTTTAAAATCAGTAATATTGTAATGTAATGAATTACTTTAAAATGAGGGTAACAAGTAATAATTAATGTATTACAGTTTTGAAGTAACTTGCCCAACACTGGTAAGGGGCCCATGTCTGTGTTCGCCTTGGGCCCCCAAATTGCTAAATCCGCCACTGCATGAAACAACCGTCACCTGGTGCCAGAAAAACAGAACAATCTCTAAGTACTCATTAAAATGCATTTAAGACCCTCTACCTGTGCCAGAGTGGTTACGCACATTTACTAAGAAATCACAATGTAACTATAGAAACATTACTTGGTATGTATAGGAAACTTTTTACTGATTGGCTTAATGAACTGGGGCCTCATTTATCAAGCTTGATTACGCACAAAACAGGGTTGGAAAACTGCGTAAGCAACTTTCCACGCAAACTTTAGGATTTATGAAAGAAAACGTAGCGGAAAAATGTGCGCAACTTTAAGCTGACTAAGGACCTGGCTTATGCACAAGTTGGACATGGGCAGCACCTGCAGTGCTGCTGCTGAGAAGATACAATTATGAAATCCAGCAGCATTATCTCTTTTACAGCTTCGTTTTCACACAGACAAGCCCCCCCCCCCCCCCCCCCCACACACACACGCATGTGCACACTCACACTCACACACACGCACACACACACACACAGCCTGAAGCGCAGAATACGGAATGCAGAATATCAGCAGGGGGGCAGATTGAGACAGAATGTCATGCGTCTGACAGTGCGTGTCCTTTCACTGTGACCCGATTGATCATGCGCCCTGGCTAGTTGAACAGGGGAGATTTCTGTTTGGCTGACTGGTTAGCGTGTGTGACTTTCACCTGGTAGTCTGGGGATCGAATCCCGATTGGACCATTTTTTTTATATCCGCCACAGATCTCTCTGAAGAATTAACAACATTGACGGCTTCAGCAACACTGTGCCACTCTGTGGATTTTCTCTTATTTGTTTTGCAAAAGCACTTCCTTTCCTTTCTCCACCTCACCAACAGGTACCTCAATTTCTGCTTCTGTGAAATTGCGCTTCCTTGATCTGCCTTGATCTACGGTCGCCATCGTCATTGGCGGAACGCTGCAACAGCCGGCTTATGTGTATGCATGAGATCTACAAGGCACTTTGCATTGACTATTTATGGCAGTAAGTGGGCGTGGTGAGGGCGGGATGTGACTAAAATGCAGTTGAGAAACATTCTCGTTAGTCTCTGATTTATGAAGCGGAGATTGCGTGCAGCTGTGCGTACTCCATGTTTGATAGATCACAAACCTACTTGGGGTAAGTACTTTTTTTTTGCTGAGCTTAAGTACGGTTTTAGTAAGGATTCTACGCAATGTTTGACAAATGAGACCCCTGACCTGTATTGGAATGTTTACTGTGTGAAGTGCCTTGAGACGACTCTTGTCGTGATTTGGCGCTTTATAAATAAACTTGAATTGAACTGAATTGAATTGCTGATGGGAAAATCAGCCACAGCTGAGACTCTCCGACACACCCACCTGCAACAAGCTCAGTGGAGCAAAACATGATGAGTCCATGTAGAGAAATACAGATCCATGAAAGAACTGTGACAATGATCTTTAAAACCTATTAAATTAACTGGATTGATGTGAGATGTTTGATAGAAAGTATATTTTCATCGTGTTTAAACCCTCTGGAGGCAGGCGTTGCAGATTTGCAACGTATAAGCCTACCTACCTGGTTACTCCACATACGTGTTTCGTGAGCACTTTTAACTCAGAAGTACCCCTGAAGGATTTAGATGTTCGTCCTTTTATCAAAACTTATTTTGAGCCTGAGAGGGTTAAATGTCCTAGCGGGGAATTGCTTTACAACACTCCCCAGGAGACTGAGAAGTCTGAGGGCAAATTGTCTCCATCCGTGCGAGCGTGCCTCTCCCTCGTGGCGATGACGGAGAAGTATAAATTAGGCTTAACGTGTCAGGATTTTAGGATTTGGGGTTGGGGGTGAACTGGAGCACCCAGAGAAAACCCCCACGCAGCACACGGAGACACAGAAATGGTTAGATCGGTTGAGATGTCACCTGTGCTGCGTTTTTTTTTTTGTGGTAATTTTTTCGTTTGTATTTTAAGTACCTGGTGGTGGAAGAAGCTACATCCTAGACACATAGTGTAAAAATTCTCTAATGTAGTGGCATTTTAAATCAAGAGCCAACCCATCTAAGGTACTGACTCTTATGGGCCATTCCCATCCGTACCTGGTCGGCCCTGCTCGGATAGCTCCAGTCGGCCCCACTTATTTTGAGCCTGAGAAGGTTAAATGTCCTGGCGGGGAATTGCTTTACAACACTCCCCAGGAGACGGAGAAGTCTGAGGGCAAATTGTCTGCGTCCGTTGCGAGTGTGCCTCTCCCTCGTGGCGATGACGGAGAAGTATAAATTAGGCTTAATGTGTCAGGATTTTAGGATTTTGTGTTGGGGGTGAACTGGAGCACCCAGAGAAAACCCCCACGCAGCACACGGAAGACACAGAAATGATTTGATCGGTTGAGATGTCACCTGTGCTGCGTTTTTTTTCTTCGTTTTTATTTTAGTACCTGGTGGTGGAAGAAGCTACATCCTAGACACATAGTGTAAAAACTCTCTAATGTAGTGGCATTTTAAATCAAGAGCCAACCCATCTAAGGTATTGACTCTTAGTCTACGGAAACTAGAAGCTCTGATAAGCGTAATTGTTAGAGCTAAACTCTTTAACCCATTCCTATTTCCTCCTGCAGAAGCTCTTGAAGAACTACAGGTTAATTTTCTGCTCTTCTAAACTTTGAGCCTTTGTTTAACCCCTCGTGTTACTGTGTGTTACTACTTACTAAATTTAGATTGGCTGCTCGTATTATTTCCTCTGCCTGCAATCCTGTTCCTGCAGGTCTGCAGCATCTACTCTCTCACCCATTCAGTTTCTTCTCTCTGAAAATTTTACGTTTTCCTGATTCAAATTCTCTGTTTCCTAGTTTTAAAAAATCTAAACCCATGCCAAGCTCCCTACTTCACTTTTATATGCTTTTCTGATCTTCATTGGTGTTCTGGAAGAAGTCATCTCTAGTAGAAGTCGGAATAGTCCCAGCTGGATCCTATGCCAGATGTAGAAGGCGTTGGCTCTTCAGCCTCCCATTCTTCTTCAGTGCTCCCATGGGCAGGCCCGGGGTTCTCTGGAAGCTCGTCGTTATCATCATGAAGACTGGGAACAGTTGGGTTCCCGTCACTGGGTACCTGGGTAGTCACTGTTTTTTCTAAATTCAGTTCCCCCAGATCTTCAGACGCAGCTGTGGGACTGTCTGACTCGTCCTCCACAGGTGGCTGCTCGTCTTCGACATTTAAAAATGCTGCTTCCAGCTCCTGCACAATCTGATCTAAATCCCCCTCTTCCTCTTGAAGAAGCTGGAAACATTGTCCAATATGTCTGTCAATTTCATCCATTCTCGCTTCCAAAGAATTAATTACCTCTTGAGTCAAAAGTTCAACCCCTTCTTCCAGAGCTTGTTGTTTCTCCTTTAAAAGGTGAGTTTCTGCTTCCCTTTTTTCCATAAACTCTAGTTTCTCTTCCTCCAGGTTTTGTGGGAGCGTTACTAAACAGTCTATCTCTTCCTGAAGAACCTGTTGAATGTCTTGAATGACCTGCTCTGAGTTTATGTTTCTCTCTTCAGAGTCTGTCATCTGTTTGATGAGAGTTTGTTGCCTAATTTGGAATATTTCCAGCTCTTTTGCCTGTATTTCCTTATTCCCCTCTTCCGATCTGAACTTTGTTAACTGGAAATTTGTCTTTTCTTCCTCCAGAGTTTCTCTCTGAAGTCTCAGACCCTCCAGCCCTTCTTCTAGAGCAGTTTCTTTCTCTTTTAAAATCTTACCTGCTGCAGCAATTTCTTCCCTAAAGTCCGTCACTTGTGTTTCCAGACTTTGTTTTCCCAAACGCAAATTGTCTAATTCTTCCTCGAGGATTTTGTAAAGCCTCCCTTGTTCCTTCTCTGATTCTGACTTAGTTATCAGGAAACGTTGTTTCTCTTCCTCCAGGTTTTGTCGGAGCATTACTAAACAGTCTCTCTCTTCCTGAAGAACCTGTCGAATGTCTTGAATGATCTGCTCTGAGTTTATGTTTCTCTGTTCAGACTCCATCATCTGTTTGTCTAGACTCTGTTGCCCAACTCGTAATTTTTTCAGCTCTTGTTGGAGGTAAGCCTGTATTCCCTTATTCTCCTCTTCCGATCTGAACTTTGTTAACTGGAAATTTGTCTTTTCTTCCTCCAGAGTTTCTCTCTGAAATCTCAGACCCTCCAGCCCTTCTTCTAGAGCAGTTTCCTTCTCTTTTAAGATCTTACCTGCTGCAGCAATTTCTTCCCTAAAGTCCATCACTTGTGTTTCCAGACTTTGTTTTCCCAAATGCAAATTGTCTAATTCTTCCTCGAGGATTTTGTAAAGCCTCCCTTGTTCCTTCTCTGATTCTGACTTAGTTATCAGGAAACGTTGTTTCTCTTCCTCCAGACTTCTCTTCTCAAGACTCAGAAATTCCAGCTTCTCCTTCAAATCCTGTAAACTTTCGTTGAAATCTTTCACAAACCCTTCTGCTGTTTTCATTACCTCCAATTTGTCCTCCTGCAGATTTTCTCTCAGAAGTTGAACATCTAGTTTGTCTTTGAGCAGAATCTGTCGGATCTGCTCTGATTCAGTCTGAAACTCAACGATCTGGTTCTGTAGAGTAATTTTCCCAGCGTTTAAACGCTCCTTCTCATCGCGGAGAGCCTGCTTTTCTGCAGTTAACTCCCTTTCTGTTTGTTCCTTAGATTCGATAAACTCTAATTTCTGTCTTTCCAGATCTCTTTTCAAGTTGTTAATTTCTTCTGTTGATCTCTCTTCGCTTACCTGTAAAGCTTTCCATAAATCTCTGACTTTCTCTTGTGTCTTATTCAAGTTTTTGGCCATCTCACAATTTGCAATTTGAGTTTCTTTAATCTTATTCCACTCATCTTGAATTTCTTGTCTTTGTTTCTGCAGTTCCCTGTTTTCCAACTCAATCTTTACTCTGTGTTCGTCGAGTAACTGAGTTGAAACAAAATTATCTCTTCCTTTCTGAGAGCTAGTCTTTAGTTCATCAACATGATTCGTTAGTTTCTTTTGTTGATCCTCAAAGTGGCATTCTCTTTTCTCCAGATCCTGCGTTTTTGTTTCCAATTTCTGTCTTTCCTCTTGGAGACTTTCCCTGATGCAAGCTATGTTTTTCTCAAACGCATCCACCCTTTGTTCAAAGTCGCGTTCCTGGTTACCAAAAACTAGTTTTTTGACTTCCAGATCTCGTAATTCTCTTTGTAAAATCTCATATCTTTGGTCTAATTCAGCTTCATATGTGTCTGAAAATACCTCCATGTTTCCCTCGTGTGGTCCACCAGTAGCCATTGTAGGTCTGTTCAGGTCTAAAACCAATCTGCAAATGAAGCTGTCTGTGTGCCTGTTTTATGTTTGCCCTTTATATAGGACTGTGCCCTTTATGACATCATCAAAGGAAGCTGATGCTGGTAGATTCCGTTTCCCTGACCATTATTATCATTATTTTTTTTGTTCTCCCGGAACTGCACTGCTCTGTGCGGCTGCATGTTGGAGTAGCTCTGTTGACTATATGTAAGTTATGCCTTTTCTTGGACATTTTTTCTTCTAGTTTCTCAAGAAAAACTGTATTTTTTGGACACTTTACTTTTCTGTTTCTGGTGCTGTGAAGCTTGGAGGATTTTTACTGCTATTTTTTTTTTAGCTTTTTCAGTTTTTGAACATTTGTTATGATGCGTAACCATGGCAACAAGCTGGTTTAACATCGGGAGCAGCTGATTGACCACTGGAGGAGATAATGCAAAGGAGGATTCTCCAGAGAATCAAGAAAATTATGGACAACCCTGAGCATTCTCTTCACAAGACTGTCCGACAACGGAAGAGTGTCTTCAGTCAGAGGCTTCTTCAGTTTCGCTGCAACACTGACCGCTACTGGAGATCCTTCCTGCCAACAGCCATTGTAATATACAATAACGCTTTGATGACTTGATTATTATTATTATTCTGAGCTACTACAGCAATCAATTTCCCTCTGGGCTTAATAAAGTATTTTTTGAATTGAATTGAATTGAATCTTTTTTTCTTTGTTGTTATAGTTCTGATTACAATTAAACATGTCCCCTGGTGACCTGTTGATGTTGTGGTGTTGTGGTCCTTATGCCTGATGCTTTGTACCATCAACAGAACATTTATCGTATGGATGTTTGTGCTTATTTAATACATCTGATTCCTGGTTGTGTTGTAGAAGATCCTCCAGGTCTGGGTCAGTTAGAGACTGGGACATTTACAAAATAACACTGATTATTATTTTATGAAATATACAATATTTTAGTCATATTCTTTGTTTTTGGTTGACAGCTGAAAAACTCAATTATTTAAAAGTATTTTGGCCATAAAATGTTTGAACCATTGCTTTTGTTCTTTTGTGATGAAGTGGAGGAAACTAAGCTGCTTTTTTCTTCATACAAAATGGACCACACACACATTAATTAATGCTGCATTTAGTTTTATCCATTTTAATTAAACAGATTTTCCATAATGTGTTTCATTATTTAAAAATAAGGGGTGTTTAATCATTTACTGTCAATCTGAATACAAAATGATAAATGTTGTATTTTTATTTGTATGACTTTATTTTCAGGACAGATAACTGCTGCTGCTGTCATGAATTGATTTGCAGGAAGTGCTCAGACTCCTGTTCCCTTGTGTGTCTCTCACAGTGTGTGTGTGTGTGTGTGTGTGTGTGTGTGTAGAACAGAGGACAGGTGAACACGCAGCAAATTAATTAAATAGTTTGGTTCTGTACTTTTCTCTTCAGCAAAGGTTTATGATGGGTCGGTTCTCCTGCATGCTCAGATAATTCCATTCCCTTACTTGAAAAATTGTTCCAAAATGAAGTTGAAGCCACATCTTTTTTTTATCTGTGAATTCAATGCCGTTCGGCGAGTCTCAAATAAAAATTTGGGCATCTTACTGTAAAAAAATATATAATTATTGTAAAAACGAAATTCTGAAACAACTATGTTCACATCAAGAATCAAACCCAGGTAATCTGCACAAAAGCCCAACAATTTACTAGGCGAGCTAAATCACCAGTGGCATCTTCTTCATCTGTAACATTTATATCCTTGATGACAGCTGAAACAACGTTCAAAGAACGGTTCGGAGGGCTGTGCCTGAGCGTGAACGCGCATGAAGCAGCCTGCGCGACCCGAGCAGCTCTCTTTTTCTGCGATTTTACAGAAAAATAGGCAATCACAATAAAAATGCCAGGGCTCATTCTACAGGACCAGGGCATTTCAGGAGAATGTATTAAGAAGAAATGTATTATTTCTATACATGTTTTGGCTGTCAAACTTCCATAATGCCCCTTTAAATTTCAAAAAGTGCTGAAAATATTAAAAATGGGGCTTTTCGTACATATACAATGCATTACGGTAGCCAACGGCATTCCCTGTCTTGAGCGCAACAATCACAACACAGATTCAGAGACGTGCTGAGTTTGTCATCCAAAATGCTCCGTTTTATAACTATTCAATGGCTGATCAGATTCAACAAATTCCAACGGTTCCTAAAAGTACATAAAAGCAGCTTTCCAATGATCTATAGCATGAAGCAATCAGAGTTATGGAAAATATCGCTACAAGGGGAAATCCTGCTGTACAGCCTGATTGAAAAGGAGCACAGCTCAGCGGTGAAAGTGGATAATGGAACAGGGAAGCTAATTAGCATAAAAAGCCGGCATGAGATTATGGAAATACCTCAAAGAAAAACAACACGATCTATTAGGTGTCCCAGAAGGCTTATATCTGAAGACAGTGACCACGAAGAAGGACAGATCTCCTTGAACCAGGGTATGAATGTTTGCTCAGTCTTTATTTTTTATTTTTTTATTTGAACAACCCTCAACTATTTTCTAATTGAAAGATTCAGCTTCATTCCAGCATTATTTATCTTTTTACAATAAATGATTATTTTGCTAAAACAAAATTTTTTGGTATAGCAGTGTACGGTGTGCAAGAGAAGCACCCCATGGTAGTGGGAGGTGTGCAGAGTGGGACTCTGCCTGCAGCTGGAGAGAAACTGCTTCAAGGTCTACCACATCAAACAAAACCGTCTGAAAGTTTACAAAAATAAATGGTCTTAAAAACTGCTAAAAAAGATACCAAGGTTCAAACTTTTTTAAGAATAGATGCATTACAGTTCGAAGTTTAAAGTGTTCGTTCCAAATTGTTTGCCCAGTAATTTTGAAGTTCCTGTTCAGTAATAAATGTAAAAAATTCTAATCATATTTTGCTTTTTTCACCTTTAAGCAAATTTTTTAAAGGCTTTAATACGAATAAATTCTAAATACAAACCATACACTGAAAGCTGAGGTTGTTCTGAAAAAAGGAGTTACACACACTTTGCACTTTTTATTACAAATTTACAGCCATAAGATTAAAAAAAATACCATGCGGCCCTGTTATAATTATGGTCATAAGAGGGTTATTAAGACGGTGATGCACAAACAGGAAGTGATTGGTAGTCATTCCACTCCAATCCAGTTGGTGGTGGTAATGCACCAAATGGTTTGTTGCCAAGTGCCATAAGACCACAAATAATAATAAGAAGAGAGGCGGGAGCATTCGTAACAAACTCAAAGCGATAGCCAAAACATTAAGCATGAAATTGAGTTATCCTAGTGGCTCCAATAAGAGAAAGAAGCAGCTTGCTTCATAAAAGCTTTTATCTTCACTTCTGAAAGTGACGTCGTTTTTCGATGTAAACATCAAAAGGAAGCAGAAAGGAAAGACAATGGAAAATGTTTAAAGGGAGGAAAACATGGACCAAAATGGAAAATAGAAAAAAAAACCAAGACAAAAGCACAGGAGCACTGACAGGAAAAAGAAAGCAGAGCAAATATTGAAAGCGCTCAAAGGGAGGGAAATACAGGAAAAAGAGGAGGACTAATAAAAAGGGAAAATAATTCATGTCAGAAGAGGGGAGAGTTTCGCAAATCCAGTTAAAGGTAAGATTGTCGAAAATTTTGTGTAAGGGGCAGTGCTGGGAGTAATGCGGTACACATAGGCATCATTTTAACTGGGGACGCCGGGGACATGTCCCCTGCAAAATTTGTGATTGGCAGCTGTGTCCCCCCCACTTTCAAAAAATGCCTGCTGATGAGGATTTTTGTTTTACCAGCTCAGATCTTATACCAGGGGTCGGCAACCTGTTCCCATCAAAGAGCCATTATTACCCGTTTCCCAAAGAAAACACCGCAGCAGCCGCGGCGTTGTGGGCGGGGCCTACCCTCAGACAGCAGAGAGCTGCTCACAACCAAGTGACAGCAGCAGGTATCGGTTGCTCACATGGACATCGCACCTGTGGGGGATTCAACACCCACACTTTTCCAGCTGTTTTGCTCACCTCCACACCAGTCTGGTTTCTTTACGTCGCACTCACTCTGTTTGCCTCATCTCCTTCTTCACCTCCCGCTTCTGACAGCTGATGTCGGGTTTCCAGAGAGCAGGAGAGGGAGGGACAGAAGAGCTCGACTGAATTCATAATTTTACATCTTGACATTAGCTGTACAAAGTCTGAGTTTGATAACGTGAAGAACAACAATTTGCAGAGGTTTATAACAGGCGCGGTGCCAGGTTTTCATTTTTGGGTGGGCCACGGTAATTTTGGACGGACCTCAATAAGCAGTGACTTAAGTGAAGCAGGCAGGTCGCGCTAGAAAATGTCGTTTAAAAAGACGTCATAAATGTGTTCCCACGTCATTTTTATTTCTAAAATATGAAGTAAAAACTCCCAATTTAATTTTCATTCATTTGTCATTAATATGTAGTCTACACCCGTGCGTTAAGTGGACCATCTTTCAGTAAACGCAAAGCATCCAGTCCACCTCTCCAAATGTTTAAAATGTGCACCACAGCCGTTAGGCGCGCCGTGCGCACCGTCAGCTACATCAGTCCAGACAAGAGCAGAGCAAATAGAATAGAGGATCATTCTGTCTGTATGTGGATGGAGATTACATTTTACAGCAGCCTGATCATCATTTAAATAAAACCATCACCTGTCTTCTAGTCCATCAGCATTATTTTAATTGGTGTGTGTGTGTGTGTGTGTATGTGTTTTCCACTTCCAACACTGGTCTAACCAACCAGACCAGCATGTCCAGTAACATATTAATGTTACAATTAAACAGTTTCACTTCATGTAGGCTAGGAACGTTTCACCTGCCGTGGCCCGACCGCTTCTGCTCCACATAAACTTTGTGCGTGATCAAATGTCTCTACAGGTGCTTTCTGAGCTGAAGAGCTATTCTGCCTCAGACTGCGTCATGCGTCTCCATATTAGAGACGGGAAAAAGCGCTGTTCAGCCAAAGTTGAATAATTTCATAAAAAGAACATTTTTCCAAGCTCATCCATGCGCATCAGTGTGCGTCGGGGTAATTCTTTCAAAACAGCCAGCATCCTTGAGTTTATCCGTCAAAATAAAAGTCTAATATAAATATCTGTAACCTGCCATTTAACTGTTTTGCCTCCTTGTGAAGATTGTTGCAAAGAGAAACAACTAAACTTGATTAACCCCAGAGCCATGCGCACTGCCCTGTGCGTCGTGACTGTAAATGAGGGGAAACGATTTAATCGGATCCTTTTCTTTTCAACATGGTTTAATGTAAAGTTTCATTCAGTACAAACTTTAGTTACACCAATCTAACGAGACAGAGCCTGGATTTGTATTCTGAACAGTTTAAACATGTTTAAAACGGAGACGTGCGTGACGCGTCTAAAATTCGCACCTGCTCCGCTATTATGGAAATTAAACTAACAAGGTGTATAACATCAAATTATTTTAGGCACAGACAACATCTCCCACACTTTTGAAAATCTTGCAACGCGCCTGGTCGCTCGTGTACGTCAAAGTTATCTTTCATAAGAAGATATTCAATAAAACGATTTATATAAAGTGGATCCAGAAGTTGTAGCCCGTCTCTGCCTACAATATTTTGATATTTTTCACCCTGTTGGTGGTTTTACTGAGCAGGTGCCACTTTTGTCATATGTTTCTTTTAAAAACATGTTTAGACTGTTCAGAATACAAATCCAGGCTCTCAGAACCAGAGCGCATGTGAGACGGTTCCTCCCACTGAAGCGAGTGTTTTCCAGACCCTGTCTCTCAGAGACTTGTCACTTAGAAAATGTTCCCTGATTATGAAACTTTGGCTGAATAGTGCTTGTTCCTGTCTCCAATGTGGCGACGCATCCAGGAGCCGTCTGAGGAGAATCCCAGAATCTGACATCCTCCAGCTCAGGAAGCGCATATAATTACGCACAAGCGTGACGCGTCAACCCGGTCTCACAGTAAGACCGGGTTGGACCTGTTCAGGTTTACGCAGACAATCTTTACATTTAGAATTAGCATACAGATGTAAAATTAATGCAGTAAAATATTAAGCTTTTTATTTAAATATCCATTCATTATTTTACAAGCACAGAGCATCAGATGGATGGAAGAGCCGCATGCGGCTACAGAGCCGCCGACCCCTGTGCTAGCCTATATTG